TCTCTTTCACTCTCTATTAACACTGTGGGAGAACTGTGTGGGATCAAATTGTTTTTTTTTTATTATTTTTTTTTATTTTGATAAATGTATAATTTTCTAATTATAATATTTAGTTTAAATATTATTTTGTTTTTTATTAATAGTATATGTTTTAGAATAATTTGCTTTTGTTTTAATGTGTTTTCTTTCAATGGTTCAAGGACAATTATCTCTCGAGTTTTTTGTATGTATGTATTACGAGGATGTGTGTGTTTTTGGGAAATTTTCATTAATATTTTTTTCTCAAAGTTAAATTCTTGACAATATTTCCAACAATTTAGTTACGTTATATGTTTTTGTAGGCCTAAACTTTTATTACTCACTTTCTATTCCTTCTCTATATAGCTCTTTCTCTCTCTCGACTCTTTGACAATAGCTTTATGTATGATGATATTTTCTTTAAAGATAAATGGACTTTTTGTTATTTAAATTTTATGCTTTTAAATATTTTTTCTAATGTTTCTTTGTTTTTTTTTTTTGTGAAATTGTTGTTAATAAATTTCTTATCATTTGAAGAAAATAAAGTTGTTTTTCTTTCATAAAAAATAAAATATATAGTTTTATGTTTAATATGACTATCAGTGCAATAATTTTTTGTATTCTTTTATTAATATTTATTTTAATTATAATATTTTTCTAAAATGTTGTGATTTTTCTTCGTTTGTTTTTCTTTTGTTAGAAAAAAGCAATAGACAAATTTGGTTTTATTTCTGTTTTATGTGTTTCTTTGTATTTGTTTGTGTAAATCTATACAAAAGAAAAATAAAAGAATAATAAACAAGAGTTATGAACAATTTGTAAATTGTTTGTTACTAGCAAAGTTCTTGTTATTGTTAATATTTATAAATAAATTTATAAAAATTCGGTAATATTTGTATTACATTTTTATTAAATATTTTAATAAATATTTTTTCTTTAATATTATTGTATTCAAGTGCGTTTTTGAAACATTTATATGTTGTTTGTTTACTGCTGTACTCAGTATGTTTATATCTATGAACGTTATAACATTAGATTCCCATTAAGAATTTAAATTGAAATCTCGTTTGTTTTTTTATTTGTTGTAGTTGTTTGCTAACAATTGAATGGATGGATAAAAAATGTTTAACTATGTCATTTGTTTGTTGTTTTGTTTTTTTTTCGTTTAATTACAATTATATGTAAGTTTTATTTTTTAAAACAAAAACTTTGTGGAAATAATTAAAACACCAGCATAAAGTTATGTTTGGTTTCAAAATATTTTTTACAAGTACTTATTGTTTTAAATACTGTGCTCCATTTAAGTAGAAATAATTGATAATAATTGAGGTTTTTCAATAAAATAAGCAATTTCTACATTTTTTATAAACTTTTTCCAGGATGAACTTTAGAGCAAATTCTTTGGTTATGCCATGGCCTTTAATAGTTTTCCAATTCTTTCCAAAACAAGTTTTAAATCAAAACGACATAAATCATAATAGATCGATTATAACGACAAAGGGACGAATGTAAACGTAGTATTATATTATTATATATTCACCACCTCCTGGCAATTTTATTTAAAAAATCATGACATCGTTCGTTCTTGGAAAAGTGAAAATGTAATATTTCAGCGGTTTAGTTTCATGAAATTACTCATGTGTAAACCGGGTCTTTTATTGTTTTTCAATGAAACTCTTAACATGGTAGAAGAATACAGGTAGGCATCGACACAGCTGCTGGGACAATGAACTGTCAAATCAAAATTGTCAAAATTACGAAAAGGAAAAACAATTAAAAACATAAAAACATAATAAAAATCTTTTAAATTCAACATAAAACGCCCTACACACATAACAAATCCAGTGGAATTAAATTGTCAATTCCTATGCGTAAACGTCAAATGAAATCCATTGTATGTGAAAGACTATTAAATTTGACGTATACACAATGAAATTGACAGTTGAAATCCACTTGATTTAATAAGTGTAAACGTACTTTAACACCTTTGCCACAATAATAAGGTGTTAAACCAGCTCGAATGTTTGTTTATCTCTTGTTTCGGGATGTCAATCACTATATTTTATTTTGACATTTAATGTGATAATCAGCTGTTCTTCTGGGACACCGTATAATAATTGGCGAGTCCAATAACCAATTGATGATCTCCCAAAATTCACATTTCTCTTCGCATTCCACAGAATTTGTGAGTGGGTTTAATTTAACGCATACGCAATGGTCAGTTGAAATCCACTCGATTTAGTTAGTGTAAATGTACTTTAACACCTATGTCACAATAACATGTTGTTAAACCAGCTCAAATGTTTGCTTATCTTTTGTTTCGTAATGTCAATCACAATATTTATTTTTGACATTTAATATGGCTATCAGCTGGGCTTGTTGGGGCACCGCATAGAAAGTGGTCAGTCCAATAACCAATTAAAGACGTCTCCCAAAAATGCACTTTTGTTTTCATATGTTTACGACTTAAGGTGAGAATACAGATACAGCTTGGCATCGTTGCATGGCATATTACCGGACACATTATAAAAAGATGTCATAGACGCATACGAATTCTAGCGCCGTTGTCTCTTATATATTGACAATAATTTGGACGATGAAAACGTAAAAAGATTTGAAGTCCTAAGGACAGTGGAGTTCAACTGTCAATTAACAGATAACATCCACTGGAATTATTATGTATGTACGGCTTGTTATTTATACCAAAGGGGTTTGAGAAAACGTCTAGATCGTTAATTCCTCCGATTATACTTCAAATATATGACGAATCATCTTAGAATCGGTCTAAACACTAGTAATTTTATGAAAGTAGGAGTTTTTAGGACATAGGTTCAATGCATAACTCCCCCAAAAATTCGAGTGATAACAGGAAAAAAAGAAAATTTCTAAATAAAAACTGCACGGTATAAACGCAAGTTAACTTGCCTGGTCTGTATCAGGTCTAAATAAATTAATACTATGAAAATTTTCATTGATGTGAAAATGAGTTTACAGGCAAGAGGAATGAAGGGGGGTGAAACTATGTACACAACCTTCTGTAATCTGAAATTATTCTATGTGCTTGAATTCGTAACTCTCAAATCAATATGGCTGCAAGCCATTTCTTTGATTGCTGTTCATTTTAATAGAAAATATCAACAATTTTCATATAAAAAAAATTTGTGTGTAGACGTCGATAAAAATTTAGATGAAAATGGAAAAACATTTTCAGTGAAAATTTTCATAGTCTTTCATAAGACTTTGCCTGCAAATTTGTAAATATAATGGTGTGTTTACACGTATTCAAATATTGAACACAATATATGTAGACGATTATAATGCATTTCAAGATGTCGCAAATCAAGAGTATTTAAAATGGCATGTGGAAATAAAATCACGAATATTGAGAATAGAAACAATCGGACTAAGTACATATTTTCTAGAACTCAGACCAGACAAAACACATTTAATCAGAGTTGTATTTTACCAGACCCATTTTAACATTGCAAATGTACAAATTATTTTAATGAATAAACTAGACCTAAAATATTGTTATTCATAATTTTATCATAGTTTTTGCCACTGTCGGGACCTTAACTCAGTCGCCTTGTCTTTTGTAAACGTAGGCTTAAAAAAATTGTTGCCAGTTTTTTAATTTCATTGATAGTCATTTGAAGCATTTTATGTAACATACATTGAGCCAAAGTACTTTTTTAAGATTTAAACATGGTACAATTAAAAAGGTAACTTCATGCAATGATGTATTTACTGTAAACAATTATATTCATAAAGTCATTGGATATACACAGAGGAGGGAACCGGTCTTTTTTGCTGTTAACTTTGACAAAGTAAATTACAGAGAATGCTGAGCTGGGTCTAAATAATTGTTCTATGAAAAAAAATGTCAAATGAAAAAATTTACAAAGAAAATCCTTTTCATGTCATAATTTCATAAAAAAAATCCAGCTCTTTAATATTATTACTATTTAAAATTAGGCCTCTTTGAATTGACTTGAAAAAATATTGTAAGTTTTTCAAATTATTAAACAATATTTTTCTCATTACTAAAAATAGTTGCGAATACTTCCAGTAAGAGTACGTTTACATATAAATAGTTAAACCCACTGTATTTGGGTTTTAAATTGTCGTATCGATTGTGTATACCTCAAATAAATCAACTTAAAGTAGGGTTACCCCACAAAAAAAAAATTAACATAAACTTGGCATAATATCTATATTTTAAAGATACGTTTTCGTTTACATGAACACCTTTTAAAGTGATTTATAATTGTTATATATGTTTGACGTATAATGTATGTCAAAAATACATAATAAGACGTAACAGTGTCTATTATCATAACCAAGGCTATGTGTAGTTTACATTGGATCCCTTTGTCATAATAATTGACCAATCGTGATAAAATTTGACTACGAAACATACCTCAATGCAAAAGCACGAAACGTGAAAATGCCAAAGGCAACAGTGTTGTATTTTTACTCCGAAGTCATATTTAAAGATTTGATTTGTTTTAGCCTTAGATAACGTTTAGACTATTATATCCAATTCTAATATCAATTCCATAGCATATACGTCATGTAAATCTAAAATAAGTCCTGTATGGAATTGACATTTAAGATCAAGTGGATTTCGTAAATCTAAACATACCTTTAAAAACTTAAAGTAAAAAGCATATTTATATATACGAAATCTAGTGGATTGTATCCACCAATTGCGTATACCTTAAATTGAATAGCCGGTAGATTTTTTTGACACATACCCAAAATTGATTAAAGTACGTTTCAACTGTCAATTACATAACATATAATCAAAAAAAAAAAAAAAAAAAAATCCACTGCATTTAGGATTTAAAATCAAATTAACTGCTGTAAGTGATTTATTTCTCCATTAATTCTCAATTAGTTACTGTAGCACAATATTATCCTTTTCTTACCCTCAACGGAAAATTTAAACAATATTTTGTTTATAATAAATACAAATGGTATTAATTTTTTTAGTGGTTTTCTTTTCGTTTATTTTCAAACATTTGTTTTCTCTTTATATATAGAATTTTAAAATATATATCACACATAATTAGCAAAAAAAAGTATATATTAAAATGTTTTTTTTTTTTAATTGTATTAAACAGAAACTAAATTTATTTAGGAAGAAAATAGAATTAAAACAAATATAATAAACAAAATAGAAATAATATAAGAAATTCTTAATGTTAAAATAATAAAAAAAAATCCATCAATTTATGCGAAAAAAATTGTGTTATTATGGGTATGCATGTACGTAACATATGTGTAATATAATTAAATTGAATTGTGTCAGAAACAAAGAAATGTAATTGCTCGTTTTCACGTTAAATATTAATTGTTAGAATTGTACTAATTCTGCCATGTTTACATTACCATTTGTTCTTCTTTGTTTTCTTCTTTATTCTTTCAATGTAAAATTCTTGTTGTTTCTGTTTCTTATTTGTTTTCTTAAAAATTCTTCTATTTGCCTTACTTTTTTTAATTTAACAATTGTGTTTTCTTGTTTGCCTTAATATTCTCTTTTAGTTATAACCTATTTGTTGCTTTGTTATAATTAACGTGTTTATGTCGCTATTTGTTTTTGTTGAATTCCTTTCTCAAATATCTTAAAAATGGTTTTAGTTATTTGTAAATTTTATTAATTTATTTTGAATGTTTTTCATTAGTTTTTTTTTTCAAAACATTATTTTTATAGTCGTGTACATGGACAACAATTTGTTAAATATAAATGTGCGTTGTTTTATACTTTGTTAATATATACTTTAAAATAAAGTTAATGAAATATCATGAATATGCAATGTGCAATTTCGAAGCATACGGCTATGATTAAATTATCACGTTTTAATAACAAGTTTTTCTTTTATTAAAACCCGTTCGATGTAAACGTATCATAAGACAGCTGTCCCGGTTCAGTAAAATTATTACCAATCAGATTAAATGTCAAGTTTTGTTTACATTTTCTTTACAGCTTGTTTATCTTTCGTAATGTACTTCCATTCACAATAAGTGTTTTGACAACCAATCTAGATGATCAGCTGCGGTAAATACCATACCTATTGATTGTGCCATGAATAAAATGGCAATGAGCCTTGACCAAAAAATACGAAACTTATGACATGTTTACATTACATCGTTATATTAGTGTGAAGTAGTAGTCTTGTAGTGTCTTGACAACGGTTCATTTGTTTAATCCGTATTTACACAGGATAAGACAAGTGATTTAAGTGCAGAATGTCAAGTTACAAGAATAAACATGTCACATATATTCATAAACAAACATGAAACATATTTTACTTATATGTTTCGTCTGCAGAAATGACAATCAGTGTCAAAACCAATCGGAAAGGTTGGAATGAATCAAGGATACTTAAAGCGATTGGCATCGTTACGTTGATAATTAATGTCAAACTACAATGTACAACGTCTACAAAGTTCGATTGAGACTCTGAAATTTTCTTACAATATGTCTTCAGACAACAGAGTTGCAATTTTAGACAATTTGCAATGTGTAAACGAAAGTTGAAATTAAGTTTCCATTAATAGTATAAATGGTCTATTATATTGTTAACCAAACAAAAATTCCTATGTAACATTCTTTTAAAGTGCGTTACTGAGAACCGTTACTTTCGTTCTTCCTGGCACAACTGCAAACGTTAACTGGTTTTAATATGAAAAGTGATGCCAAATTTATCGGTGTAAAGAGGAAGCGGCAAGTCCTTGTGAAATTGACTTGGTAATCCTTACTTTGGTAATTAATGTCAAACTACAGGGTACAACATGGACAAAGTTCACTAAGTGTGTATGCGTAAACAAACATCAGCTGATTGTAATTAAACTTCTCTCAAAGCCATATGTAAACGATAGGAGTTGTATACTGGATTTGTTGCATTCAATGAAGTTTCCATTAATAGTATAAATGGTCTATTACATTGTAAACTAAAAAAATGCTCCTATATAAACATGTTTTTAAAATGCGTTACTGTAAAACACCGTTGCTGTCTTTTTTCCTGGCAGTGCTGCCAACTTGAATTTGTTTTCATACGAAAAGTGCTGCCACATTTCTAGGCATAAAGAGGAAGTGGCAAGCCATTGTGAATTTGGTTTTGTAATTAATCGTATCTTGGTAATTAATGTCAAACTGCAGGATACACCATGGACAAAGTTCGATTATGGCTCTAATGCCATGTTTACGACAGAACTTTTTGCAGGGTTTACCTACTTCAGGAGGATATATCTGAAGTATGCATAATGGATATGACAATTTTAATCTAAATACATTGGGATAACACATTTACATACAAACGTACTGTAAAATTATTTTATAATATCGTAATTAAATGCATGGGTTTATCAGACAACATAGCTGCAATTTTAAACAATTTTTAATGTGGAAATGAAAAGTAAGTCTCCATATTTGCTCTTTCGCCAAAGAAATGCATTATTTTTCACATTTTATGTTCATTAAGTGTGTATACACTAACAGACATCAGCTGATTGTAAATTTAAATCACAATGAAGTTTCCATAAATAGTATATTAAATTGTACTTCCAAAATAAAACTCCTATGTAAACATGTTTTTAAAATGCGTTACTGAGAATACTGTTACTGTCGTACTTCATGCCAATGCTGTCAATTTGGGCTTTATATGAAAAGTGATGCCAAATTGCTCGGTATAAAGAGGAAGTGAGAAGTTGATAAGAAAATTTTAACATTTTTGAATAATTAGTGTATCGGACGACTTACTGTTCATTAATAGGTACTCAACTTTAATTTCTCTACTGATTTATTGGAATATATTCGAATTTTTAATTGTAGCTTTAAATTTCCTCTAAATGAACTCTGTTATAGCCTCATATTGCACAAAGACTCCGAATTACTTCATCACATAACATACAATGTTATTACGGCATATCATTCATATAATGTTCACACTGCTTTGAAAATTTAAAATAACATTTTTTTCATTATATTTAAGATATTTCGATAACTTTTTTGTGTTTTTTTAATCAAAGACAAACGCACACACTCACACGAACAGATACATATGTATATATCTAAAACATTAATACATACAAACAATATATAATGAACAACATAAATTATTTTTTGGCTACATTGTGCCAAATTCAAAACCGAATGTAAATCTACAATTTCGAATTTATAAGGTTAGAAAACCAAACGACACAGGTTATGTTTTGTTGTGGTTTGCGATTTCGTTACTTTAATGCAAACGATGATGATTATTGCTCTTGGGAGTACCAACAATACGTACACGACCCAGGGTGCCCATATTGCCGGCACTGGCGGCAGCAGGAGCAGCAGTAGCAACATTACCAGCATTTTGGGCGGCCACCACATGATGGTGCATTGTGCTTATCATGTGGGGGTGCATTTGCAGTTGCTGTTGCATGGCAGCCAACTGTTGTTGATGGTGCTGCTGTTGTTGCTGCAAATGCTGCTGGTATTGTTGGTATTGTAATTGTTGCTGCTGATGCTGCTGCTGTTGTTGTTGTTGTTGCTGTGCCAAGTGTAAACGTTGCTGTTGTTGCAGTTGCAATAACATGTGTTGTTGTTGCTGCTGTTGCTGGTGTTGTTGTTGTTGTTGCTGCTGCTGTTGTGCCTGAGGCTGTTGCTGCGGCAGTGGTTGCTGCATCTGCGGTGTGTGTTTGATGTCATTGCAATCGCAAAATTGCGGCGGTGGTGCCAGCACAATGTTCTCTGTTACCAGACCACCATCCGGCTCGGGACGTGACACCGCAGAAGCGGCAACACTGCCCCCAACAATGGTAGATTTTGAATTCGACAGGGAGGTCGACATTTCAGAATCACTATCGGCCTCAATGGGCGGTGGCAACTGGACCAGCGAAACGGCCGCCGAACGGGTTGCACGTTGCATAGCAATAGCGGCCGCTTGTTTGCGTGTTAACGAATTGTGGCGTTGGAAGGCCTTGGCCGGTGGCGAGGGACTCAACTCACCATCATCATCGGAACGCTGTTCCTCCTGTGACTCCTGGGATGAGAGCAGACTTGATTGTTTGGCCATTTGTTGTTGCTGTTTGGCAACAATGGCTGCCGTGTTGGCGGCCGCACCAGCGGCTGCTGCCTTTGCCTTGAGGATTTGCTGTAAATGTTGTTGATGGGCCATTTGTTGCTGCTGCTGTTGTTGCTGTAGCAGTATTTGTTGTTGGGTGGCCAACAATTTCTGATTGGGATTCATGTGGGGTTGGGCCAAACGACCGGCCACCGAGGCTTGACTCTTTGCCGCCACCTGTTGACTTTGAACGACAATTGTTTTGACTTTGGTTGCAGACATCTGCTGCTGTTGTTGCTGTATGACTGGAGCGTGTTGCTGCTGGACCATTTGTTTGACGGTGACCGTAGTTGGAATGTTTGGTGTAGCTGAGACAGGAACGTGGGAAGAGGTAATGGCCTTGGCCTCAAATGCTGCCTTGGCATTGGCCACATTTGTAGTCGAAATGGCCGGTGAGGTGGTGGCACTAGCAATGGCAGCAATGCCGGCGCTACTGCTACTTGGAGGCTTATCAATGCTGGCAGCTGTTGTAATGGCCACAGGCTGTAGAGTTTTGTGTTGTAACGGTGGTGTCGATTTTGCAGTCTTCTCCAACTGTTGCAAATTGCTGGGTTTACTTTGTGTGGGTGGTGGTGTTTTTGGTACAGCTGCAGCACTTGCGGCACTCGCTGTTGTGCTGGCTGCTGCTGCTGTCGTATTTGCTGTAGCTGTTTTTGGCAGTTTTGTAGAATCCACTTCATCTTTTTCCTTATTCGTATCGGGTATGGTCTTGGCCTCTTCATTAATTGTGACCGTGGGTTTCTTTTTAATCGTATCGGTTGATTTGGGTCCAATATTGGCCAAAGCACCGGCCGCTAAGACCTCTTGATCACTGCTAACACCCGATGAACTATTACTATCACCTTCCTCTTCATTGTTGTTATTGTTCATATTGTTGTTGTTGACATTTTCAACGTCATTATCGTTTTTGGCTGTAGCTTGTTGCTGCTGTTGTTGTTGCTGCTGCTGCTGCTGAGCTTGTTGCTGATTTGTTTCATTGGCGGCGGAGAGAGTCTCATCGTTTTTATCAAATCCATTTGGCGATGATTTGGATTGTTTCAAATTGCTGCGAATGCGTTGGATTTCCTCCACCGATAGGGAATGTGAAATGGATGCAGAGCCGGATGCTGAACTGCTGCCACTGAAGAAGGAGGAAAGGAAAAAAAATTAGAATATAAAAAATTATTGTGAGCATTTTAAAGTCATGATTATAGAGATTTATATCTAATAGATAAGTTTGCAAAATAATTGTCTCGATCTGAGAAGGCTGAATCATAAATGAGATCAGAGACCTGAGTGGAGTAATTAGGGTTTTGAAACATTTAATAGAGCAATACCACTAAAAATCTGGCAGACATTGAGCGAAGCCAGCAATTTTGTTTTTTTTTTACCATTGAAAAATTAGGAAGGTAAAGTCATTTGAAAAAAGCATTTCCATCTCTGCATTTTCGTAAATTTACCTTCACTGTACTCACAGAGAACTCCTTGCGTGGATTTTAAGCCAATTCTATTTAAAAATGTGGCTAAAATCGTCAAAATGCCCAATATCGAGGGCACCATTATATGGGAGCTATACGATATCGTGGACCTATATAGACCTATATTACTTACAGAGAATTTTTTGTGTAGAATTTCAGGTAATTCCATTAAAAAATGTAGTTATATTAGGAATATACGATATCGTGGACCTATAGAGACAATTCTCCTTCTGGAGGTAAGGTAGTCACGAAGAACTCCTTGTGTAGAATTTCAGACAATTCCATTAAAAAATGTGGTTAATATCATCAAAATGCCTAATCTCGGGGATACCGTTATATGGGGGCCATACGATATCGTGTACCGATATAGCTCATCTTCGAACATGACATGCCTGCAGACAAATGACAGATCGATGCAAAATGTTAGCCTTCTGCCTTTATTCGTTTTGACTCTAGCCTGTTTACAACAGACAGACGGAAGGGCAGGGCTAAATATTACGCTGATCAAGAATATATACTTTGTTGGGTCTAAAATTATTATTTCGATGAGTTACAAACGGAATGACAAATATAATATATCCTCCATACCATGGTAGAAGAATATAGGTAGACGCGTCGACACAGCTGCTGGGACAATGAACTGTCAAACCAATTTTGTAATTGAAAATGTTGAATGAAAAATTATTTAAATTTGTGCAAATTCTTGTAAAATGCATATCATAACAACCTCCGATTGGCGTCGTATAAGAAAACTTAAAAAAATCTATTTATTTTTGAAAAAAATATATATTTTTGACATATCAATGTTCCCAAGCGTTATGCATCTACCTGTATTCTTCTACCATGCTCCATACAATGTATACAATATATGGTGGAGGGTGAACAAAACAAAACACATCAAATTTGTACAAAAAATAGGTTACACTAGGTTCGAAAAAGACCCATTATAGTTGCCATATTCACACATTATGTTTCCTCAGTTATTCATGATTGAAGGAATGATCTCTCGAGAAAAATGCTTTCCGGGCGTATAGAACTCCGCACGGATATTCATATTTGGCGAATTGCATTTAATTTCAAATGTGAAGGAAAATTAAAAGAGAAAATGGAAACTTACGAGAACCTAGCAATGGCTCGACAATCATCAATAATGTTCAGAATTATTTTTCTTCTATCATTCATAATTGTAGGCACGATCTCTCGAGAAATATCCTTTCCGAGAGAATAAATAAAAAATAAAAAAAAATAAATAAAAAAATATAAATTTGCACAACAAATAGGCTACACCAGGTACGAAAAAGACCCACTATCGTTGCCATATTCACAAATTATGTTTCCTCAATTGTTCATGATTGGAGAAATTATCTGTCGAGAAAAATGATTTCCGAGTGAATAGAACTCCGCATGGATATTCATTATTGGGTTGATTGACTTGAATTTCAAAACGTGCAGAAAAATTAAGAGAGAAAGTAGCAACATACGAGAAGCTGGCAATGGCTCGACATCCATCGGAAAAGTTCGAAATGGTCATATACCGGTGACAGTCATATACAAGTGACCAAAGACTAAGTCCAACCTAGTCCCAAGTACACAGTTCGTTTAAGTTGTATTTTGTAGGTTTTTATTTATTCGCAACTGTCGCCTTTTCGTTTACTTGGGGACAAAAAATTGTCAATTGGTTCCCTTCGCATTACTTAGGGACAAATTTTATACTAGTACGGCTTATAACTAGTAACGGACTGAGGAAATTGAGTTAATTGGAATTTTCATTGCTAGCGATATGACGGTCATGGAAACCAATGCTCCGGCTGATCTTATCATTTCAACCACCTTCTCGTGGGATGCAGCCCTAACATCTTCGCCATTGATAGCTAAGAGGAAATCGCCTGGTTTGAGGCCGGCCATGTCGGCCACACCGCCCGGATCGACATCGTCCAAATACTGAAGAGCTGGGAAGCGATCCGATGGCTTCAATTGCATGAGTTGGGAAGAGGCTTTGGCACTAGCGGATATTTTCTAGCTAGTGATAAGATTTCTTATCCACCTCTCTCTTTGCAGCTTGTTATGACATACATGAATCTTCAAGGATCTCCTCTCCCTCACTTCTTACCTTGCTTGACTATTTCCACCCGCTTCGGGTACATCGATCAGGGCAATCTTCTCATTTAGCTTGGTGTTGCGTGCCACCAAAATCGAATTTTCATCTTCACCATCCGATTCGCTAAGACTGTAGTCCGGTTCAGGGATGGGTGGTGCCGGTCCAGTCGGAAGATTTGCCACAATACTATTGTTGTTGGTGTTATTATTGTTATTGACTTGATTGAGAATTATGCCGCCACTATTTTGGCTTGGCGGGGCGGCATAATGCGATGAGGTGTTAGTGGTGGTGCTGGTGACTGTGGTGACATTAGAAGAGGTTGTGCTGGCGGCGGCTGTGGCTTGTGCCAAGGCCGTTGGTTGAGCATATTGACTAATTTGTGGTTGTTGCTGATTCATCGAGGGAACAGCAACATTTGTTGGTGCATAAATACCAGATTGATTCGAGTTTTGTTGTTGGTTACTGTTCTGTTGGCGATTCTAGAAACAAAAACAAATAAAAAATTATAGATCTTTAAATAGTTAAAAATATCCCTTCATTTACCTCTTGAGTTTGCCTTAACTTCCAAGCGATCAACTCCTGTGGTGAAGCATAGATTTTTGCACTTGCCGAAGGTTTGAAACTCGATTGAATACCATCAACTGCGGCCGCAGTAACGGCATCATTCTCCACACGTTTCTTTAGTTTTTGTTGTAGCGACAGTGTGCTCTCGTATTCCGAACTTTGCCGGGTCTCAACCTTTACAACCTGACCCACCACGGGTGGTGGCGGTGGAGGATGATTTGGTGGTGGCAAAGCATTTAGACGCAACATTGAGGCATGCAATGTGGCCACATCATCTTGTGACAAATGACCCTTGGCCACGCCAGCGGTCCAGATCGAAGAGGAGGATCCACCCGCATTAACATTAAGATCCGGCGTTGAATGGAACCTCTTTAAGTCACGGCTTCCAGCGCCCACGGTTGGTATGGCACATGGTTTGCCACGCAATGTGCCATTTTTAGATTTGGTTTTACGCTTCATCTCAGCCACACTGCCATAGACCATGGGACCTTTGAGCGGTGAATTGGTATTGGCTGGTGGCGTGGCTGCTCCACTGTCGGTGCCCGACTGGAAACGTGAAGTAGTCATCATGGTGGAATAACGATTTGCACTATCAACAGCTTCGCCCTGTTGACGCTGGAACAGTTCCTCAAGCTCGGCGGCTGTAATGCGACTTGATGTGGGCCTAGCCTTAATGCTGGCCGTACGCAACTGTACCGGAGTTCCTGGATGTGTGGGTGTAGGTGTTACAATCGACTCCACCGAGGAGGATTTTGTATGATGGATGTCATCGTCTTCCTTCTCGCCGCCATTCTCCAAACCGGCCACCATTGACTTAGCTCGTGCTCTACCCACTGACAAAGTGGTTTTGGGATCTCTGCGTGGTGGTAAGGGTGCAGGTCTTCCCTGTCTCTCAGCCGCTGCGGCTGCTGCATTCGGTCCCAAGGACATTTTACGTGGCAAAGTGGCACACTGTCGATGCGAGGTTTGCGGTGTGCTCGGACCCGATGACAAATGATGGCTGGGCATGTATTGTGGGGTGGCTTGCATTTGATTGGGAAATTGTGGCGATATGACGGTCATGGAAACCAATGCTCCGGCTGATCTTATCATTTCAACCACCTTCTCGTGGGATGCAGCCCTAACATCTTCGCCATTGATGGCTAAGAGAAAATCGCCTGGTTTGAGGCCGGCCATGTCGGCCACACCGCCCGGATCGACATCGTCCAAATACTGGAGTGCTGGGAAACGATCAGATGGCTTCAATTGCATGAGTTGGGAAGAGGCTTTGGCACCGCGCAAAATGAAACCGAAACCACGCTTGGCTCTGTGCAATACCACAGTACGAGGTTCGTTGAAAGCACTGCAAAAAAGGAAGATCATTATTATCTCCATTCATAATCCAAAATTCGAAAGCTATATTTACTTTTTCTTGACTCGGGGTGCTGTAGCACTACTGTATTGCTGATTCTGTTGCAGCTGTTGCTGGCCATTGCTACTTCCAGCCAGTTTCATTGAACCATAATTCTCCGATGATCCACCGCCACCATTCAATGCATGTGTCGAGCCATTGCTGTTCACCGACAACGATGGCGACTGATGTATCAGAGTGGGACGTGGCAAAGTACCGCCCGTACTACTCATGCCACCAATTCCCGAACTGCCACCCAGACTCAATTGTGGCGAACCCTGGTGTACAGACGATGCTGCTGGTGAATGTTGATAGGGCGAGTGATTTGGATTCGCTGTAGCAACATTGGTTATATTCTTTTGTCGTAAATTAACCTCTTGTACGCACTCAGCTGGGAAGAACCCAGACTGATTGGTACCGCGTACATAGCCCTCCAAGAGGCCACAATCGGTCGAACCCACAACTTCAATAACATCGCCAACCTGCAGGCGTATATGACCCACAGAATTGCCAGCATAGGGCTCCATGCAAACCACCGTTGTGCTAGGGTGACCAATTGAGCAGGCCGCAGAATCGGAATTGGTACCAACGCCAGAGGAGTCGCTGATAATGTCGCTGGTATCACCAAGTGATTTATCTATGAAGAGATGAGAGAAAAGTGCGGATGGAAAATGGTTAGTAATTGTTTTTTGCCTTAGGGATTTCAATTTTTGATACAACAGTTACCAAAGAGGTATTGTACCTGTACGACTTGGGTGTGTTATTCCTTTAAAATGTGTATTCTTAGAAATAAACTTAACAAAGTTATAATAGAATATAAAACCCTTGATATGATTCCTTTGCTTTCTCTTGAATGTAGTCTTTCCTATCATAGTCCTTTAAACCCTGAAAACCATATGATTTTAACTCGAAGGAACTAGGAGAAAGTATAATCTGGAGAGATTAAAAATAATTCTGCGTTAATTGTCATAGAACAGGTGTTTCAAGGAATAACAAAAAATATACCCATGGCAGTCCTTAAAAAATTGTTTGAAAAGCCGGAACATATCTAAATAGCTCTAATAGAAAATTATTAGAGAGACCAGATTGTAGATCGGGATTAAACTTTCCCAATGTTAGTGACTCTCAACGAACGATGAGAGAGTTAGTTTATTTAAAACAGCGAATGGCGCCCAACGAGCGATAGGAAAATTTTATTTTTTTAAATATCCTGAACCATGTGGAAAGAAACGAAATTTCTGAGCAGTCATAATATCATGTGGTAGTTATCTTAACCTCCAACGACTGTCAGGGCGTGAGTCCATTTTTAGTGCTTTGTGAGCTTTCCGAAAATGTGGGTCAATACATTTTAATAAAATTATAAAAGGATCTAGGATTCGCAATGTGAGCGGCAACTAATTTTCCAGATAAATTTACTCTTGGGAAAAAATGGTCTAAAAACGAATACAGGACAAAAATTTAATGCGGTTTAAGAGCTTTTTTATGCACATTTAAAACAAAATTAAACTGTTAGAAGCAAATTAAATCGTAAGAAAAACATGTGGCAACATTCATTGAGAAGTTTCATTAAAGGTCTGTCTGGTTACTTCTTTCTCTGAGAGTAAGACTTAAGTCTTATTCTCTTTTATAAGGAAACTGCAAAAAGAAGGCATGATCCACGGTAGAAGAATACAGTACATGCATCAACGCTTGGGAACATTTTTTAAAGTGTTTTTTTTAAGTAGATTTTTTATGTTCTCTTATACGACGCTAGTCGGAGGTTGTTATGACATGCATTTTTTAACATTTTTTTGCAAATTTTGATATTTTTTCATTCAAAAAATTGCTTTGACAATTCCAGCAGATGTGTCGATACGACTACCTGTATCCTTCAACCATGGCATCATCCCTTTAAAATCAGCTGGATATGTGAAATTTGAAGATAGTTATTTGCTTATTTCGCTTTCTTTAAGCGTTTTGTTTTTTAAAACCTTGAACCCTATGTGGGGGAGGTAACAGAGGGAATGGTCCGATCTCTACCGTCTTTATAACAGATCCCGTGTTGATAGAAATATTCAGATGTGCCAAGTCTAAATGGAATCGGGTTTCGCGACTCAAGGATTTTCAAAATTTCGACCTTTCGTGGGGGAGATACCAGAAGGAGTGGGCCGATATATTCCATCTTAATAGAAATGTTGTGATATGTACAATTGGAGACAATTGGACTCTCACATCACATTTTATAAATGTTGAAATTATTCAAAATTTTGACCCTTTGTGGGGGAGGTACTTGATGGAGTGGACCGATATTGTCCATTTTAGCACCTGTCCTAGCACTGACCCAAATTTTAGGATTTGCAAAGTTGTAGCAAAATCGGATTATCGTTTATATTTCTGGGCAGAAAAAAAATATATTTTTTAAATTTCGACCTTTTGTGTGGGAGGTACCAGAAGGAGTGGACCGGTATATTCCATTTTAACATCAGACCTTGGGCTAATAAAAATATTAGGATGTGTGAAATTTGAAGACAATTGGACTCTTACATCACATTTTACAGTTATAATTATTAAAAAAATGTTGACCCTTTGTGGGGGAGGCACCTGATGGAGTGGACCGATATTGTCCATTTTCGCACCTGACCTAGCATTGTTCAAAATATTAGGATTCGCAAAGTTGGAGCAAAATCGGATTATCCTTTCTCTTTCTGTGCAATAAATTATATTTTTTTTGAAAATTTTGATATTTTGTGTGAGAGGTACCAGAAGGAGTGGGCCGATATTGCCCATTTCCGAACTCGATCTAAGTTTGACAATAATATTACGATGTACCCACTTTGGATCAAATCGGATACTCCCTTCGAGAGTTATCGTGCGCACCAGCCAGACAGACAGACGGACGGGCATCGCTAGATCGACTCTGTACCTCTGTAGCCATAAAAATTTAAACCTAAAGTGAAATATGGTTATAACGGCATGGAGATGGATGTATATGTAACGTAAGATCTTTTGGTTGGATAAAGAAAATTTTGAAGAAACAGTAACTGCCTGGTATTACATCAAGTATTTTATGTTATCTCAATTTGTAAAATTCTAAAATACATACATAGGACTTAACATTGAGTTTGAGATAATTTTAAATGGTCAGAATCAACTGATGTTTCTTTGAAAATACACACGCATACAACTCGTATTCCAGACAATTTGTCTTGTGTAAACACCAGGTTTGTACGAGTTGATTTTTGTGACTGACAGCTTCTGGTTGATTGATTAATTAATTATTGATTTTGAGGGGCTGCCACCTAGTTTTGACATTTTTGCTAGCTCTTCGTTTCTATACTCTCTGAGCAAAGCATCTCTCTAAGAGTGAATCTAGCTCAAATATTTAGAACAAACAATTATTTTTGATAAAAAATATTAGTGGCCAAAATTTTAGAAAAGAATAAAGGTGTGGGTTCTTGAAGTCTTTGCATGACATATTTGGCGATGAAATTTGACATTATTATGCCTAGCCATGATGCCAAGCTGCTTATGTACCTTCACCTTAACTCAAGCCTTGTTAAGGTCGGTCCAGAAGACTACTTTAGACAACGATGCGACAATAAACTTAGTAATTTTTGCATAATTGTGATTTGATTCCATTCAATTTCAAATCACGATAAGTCTTTTGACGGGAAACTTGGTTGTCAGATGGACTTACTCCGTCCTTATGTAGGCCATGGAATAACTTTTAATTATTTTTAGTCTACGTTTTTCTATTTTTTTATTTTGTAAAACCTCTGATATTTGAAAAAAAAAAACACTTCACATTAAAAGTTGTAATTTTTATTAAATCTTGACATACTGCGTGGAAATAACAACGTTGCATTTAAAATAAATGCTGCCAAATTGCATCGTTTTTTTGCAAACAAATGACGCTACAGTCTTTAAACCTTAATTTTAAGTTGATGTAAATGCGCACATAACCGTGTTCCACTGAACACACATACATATATGTTTTATACGGATGTTTGTATGAATTTAGACAACTGTCAAAGTCACAAGGACATGGGTATGCATGAGAAAGACAAAATCGGAATTAAATAAAGGAAAGCGCATGACGAATGAAAAGCAGGATGAAAACTTCTTCGTATGTTCTTTTTCTATCTCTTTCTTATTGGTTTTTATGGTAACAATTAGAAAATGTAAACATGCAATTTGTCTATAAACTAAAAATAGAAAATTTCAAACAAAATTGAACAATAAGAAGAAAAAAAGAACTATATTGGCAGAAAAGTGCTAAGACATGCAATTGTCCATTTAGGATAATGGAATTTTTCTCTTTGATTAAATATTGAAATTGATATTTTCCACATATATAGAATTTAGATGTACTTATCTGTTGTATGTTAGCTTTGAGTAAATATTTTTGTTTGTATGTTCAATTCTTAACTTAACTTAAATTGAAAAAAATGCAATCAACTTAAACGTAAATAAAACATAAAATAAACTTAATTTTGATAAAATATAACTTGTTAAAAATTATAACATACATAGCCTCCATTAATTTCATGTTTTAGTTTTCAATGTTTAAAGTAAGTTAAAATGTACATATTCTTATAATGTCTTACCCTTTTAGCGTCAAAACAGAATAAACGCGGTAGGCGCTTTTCTATTTCGTGCGTTATTGAGAAAAGTATTGTCAAGTGGAGGTGACTTTTTTAATCTTGAACATCTTCGTGTGTTTTATACCCTCCACCATACATAGTACCGATGGTATATTATGTTCGTCATTCCGTTTGTAACTCATCGAAATAATAATTTTAGACCTAACAAAGTATATATTCTTGATCAGTGTAAAACTCTTGGGCGATTTAGCCCTGTCCGCCCGTTCGTTCGTTGTAATCAGGCTAGAGTCAAAACGAGTAAAGACAGGAAGCTAATATTTTGCACAGATCAGTCTTTTGTCTGCAGCAGGTCAAGTTCGAAGATAGGCTACATCGGTCCACCATATCGTATAGCCCCCAGATAACGGAACCACCCGATATTCGGTATTTAGATGATTGTAGCCAGATTTTTCAATGAAATTGTCTGGAAATCCACAAAAGGAGTTCATTCTTAGTACTTTAACCCCTGGAAGAGTATTTTCTATATATGACCACGATATTGTATAACCACCTCCATATATTCGGTATATTGATGATTTTAGCTACATTTTTAAATAAAATTGTCTAAAAATCCACACTAGAAGTTCTTTCTAAGCACTTTATTCCCTGGAAGAGAAATGTCCATAAAGGTCCACGATATCGTATAGCCCGCATACAACGGTACCTTCCGATATTCGGTGTTTTGGCGATTTTAGTGACATTATTCACCGGAATTGTTTCAAATTTGATATTTGAAGTTCGTAAGGGATACTACAGCCTAAGACAGAAAATTGTATGTATAGGTCCCCGCTTTCGTATAGCCCCATATAACGACACCTCCCGATATTCGGTATTTTGATGATTTTAGCGACATTATTCACCGGAATTGTTTCAAATTTGGTATTTGAAGTTTGTAACGAATACTACAGCCTGTGACAGGAAATTGTCTGTGCAAGTCCTCGTCTTCGTATAGACCCCATAATACGGTATCTCCCGATATTCGGTATTTTGATGATTTTAGCGACATTATTCACCGGAATTGTTTCAAATTTGTTGTTTGAAGTTCGTAATGGATACTATAGCCTATGACAGGAAATTGTCTGTGCAGGTCCACGTCTTCGTATAGCCCCCATGTAACGATACCCTCCAATATTCGGTATTTTGATGATTTTAGCGACATAATTCATAGGAATATATTCGGTAATTTATGATTTTGGCTACATTATTCACTGATTTTTTTCAAGTGTCTTATTTGAATATTGTAATGGCGTATGACAAAATTTGCCTATGCAGGTCCACATCTTCGTAAAAATTACAACATAACGGCTATATTCAGTACTTTTAAGATTTTAACAGAATTTTTAAAGGATATCATTTTTTTTTTTTTTTTGAAAAATTTCAAATCTGTTCCAAATGGTGGAGGGTATTCAAAGTTCGGCCCGGCATGATGCGGCTTATAATAATAAAGTTGGGTCTATTTAGACATGCCAAATTTACCGGGATGTGATTTGAATGAAACAGATGTCACTATATCAACAACTCTCCGAAAAATGCACGAAATGAAACTAAATTTATACTGGCTTAAATAAATTTCATATGACAACACTGTCTAAAAATCAATGAGGGTTTGAAAAATTGTTTACATTTGTGAAAATCAAAATGGATCACACAGAATAAAACAAGACATAATGGCAATATTTTCTCCTAAAAATGATAATAATTTTGTCCAGTTGTCAAAAGAGTAGAAGCATAGTGTCTGGCCTGACAGAAACACTGAGATTTTATTAAATGCGCGTTAATAGCTTTTAAATGCACATTATCTCTGCCGCCTGCCAACAGTATAAAACAGCAATTGAGATTTAAAAATTTTTAGACATTAATTCGATCTTTATCTATTGCAAATTGAACATGTTTAAATAAAATTCGTTACTAATATTTTATATTATTTCTACGTAAACTCGTTAGATGTAAACGTAACATAATAGTACGTTTATATATATGAGGGTTAACCCTCTGGATTTGGATTTAAATTGTCATATCCATTACTTTTACTTCAAATAAATCCTCTCAAAGAAGGTTAACCCTACAAAAAGTTCTAACGTAAACATGGCATAACGTCGGTAAGTTCTGGAAATGAATGAAGGCTTTTGACATAATTAACCCGTATATACTTATACATAAATCATTTTAAAACTTAGTCAATGAAATTTTAAATTAAACCAATAATAATGCCATAAAAATAAATAAAAAACTATCAAAGTAAAAAATAAAAAAACAAATCAATAAAAAAAAGAAATACCTGTTACAATGCTGATGTCATCCTCGTGAGAACGATGACCGGATGAACCCTCCGATAAACTCGAACTGGCTGAACTGTATGGCAAATGTTCGGATGGACACGGTGATGGTGGTCCATGATGGCCACATGTACTGCTGTTGCGTGTTAATGTACCCATTAGGCTACTACCACCGCCAATGCTACCATTGGCACTTAGCCAACCCATGCCGGAACGACGTTTCGGATTGTAACGTGGTGGTCCGCGAAAGGGTACTACGAGTTTGTTGATAAATGTTGATGTGTGTGTTTGTTTTTTTTTTTTTGGTGGAAGGAGGAGTAGGAAATGGGTATATTTTGAGATAAGTTTTGTTTTTTTTAATACAAGGAATAAAGAGTTAGTTTAGTTGGTTTTCTGTTTTGGTTAGTTAATTATCTGGCTTTCATTTAATTTCCAATAAAAGAGAAATTCCATTGCAGTTATTTTTTATTTTGATTTCTACTTTCGGTTATAAACAATTAGGAATGATAATACAACATTTACACTGATAAGAAACTGTTGTCGTTAAATTATAGCATGTTTACATACAATTTTTGGTTCATATTACTTGACTAATCACAATTAATTTGACTATGGAAAACATATGTTAAGCCTATTGCGATTGATGACCGGTTAAATACGTTGTATGCAAACGTTCTCTAACCCTAACCCACTATGTGGATTTATGGGCTTCATACCATTATCATGCAAAAATAGATCACCTCATGACCGGATTTATTTTCTGTATATATATATAAACATTGTCTGAGCAGCATAAATATATAAACCACTACTACTAATAAACTCATTGGTTTCACCCTCAATTCTGTAAACGTACTGTGAGCTACGAAAATGAAGTAGTCGCAAAGTTTACACATGTAAAATTGTCTCCAAGCTGAGCTGTATTTTATTGCCATATTCATACTGGACCGATTAAATTTGCCACTGTCTAGTTTTTTTTTTGAAAATTGCAAGGTAACACGTTAAGGCCCGCTGCTCTCAAAACATATGTTTTTATACCCTCAGCCATATGGCTAGAGAAGGTTTATATCATTTGATTCGGCCAAAACGTGCCTCATCAAAATAACGGTTTTACACCCCAGGTCTCTTTGGACTAAATCCGTTTCAGGACATTTGGAGTCGATTTAGCTATGTCCGTCCGTCCGTCTGTCTGGCTGGTGCGCACAATAACTCTCAAAGAGAGTATACGATTTGGTCCAAACTAGATATTATTATCAAACTTAGATCAAGTTCGGAGATGGACAACTTGCGAAACAAGTCAGCGATTCTTTACAACTTGCAATATCTTAATATTTCTCTCAACCAGAAAGTTGATTGAGGGTATACATACATCTGTCGGTCCAATCGACTTCCTTTATTTAAAAACACTCTCTCTCTTACATTTCTCTAAATATTTTTTTAAACTTTTTTTGATGGGTCCAGGCAGAAACATAGCAAAATGGTCAAAATTCTCCTCCTGTGTGAATTTATGGAAACAAAAATTGGGTGTAAACGTGCTAAATTAATAAATGGAAAGTCGACTTATACATCCCTACATTATGGTTCATCGTTGGAACTATGCATGGCAGAAGAATACAGGTAGATGCATCAACGCTTTCAAATATAAGTGGATTTTTATATGTTTTCTTATACTACGTCATACGGAGGCTATTATAATTCGCGTTTTCAACAATTTTTACAAAATTTAAATAATTTTTCATTCAACATTTTCAATTCCAAAATTGGTTTGACAGTTCATTGTCCCAGCAGCTTTGTCGACGTGTCTACCTACATTCTTCTACCATGGAACTATGTCAGAGAATATAAAAAATTTAAATGTTTTTTCAAATATAAGTGGATTTTTATATGTTTTCTTATACTACGTCATACGGAGGCTATTATAATTCGCGTTTTCAACAATTTTTACAAAATTTAAATAATTTTTCATTCAACATTTTCAATTCCAAAATTGGTTTGACAGTTCATTGTCCCAGCAGCTTTGTCGACGTGTCTACCTACATTCTTCTACCATGGAACTATGTCAGAGAATATAGGATTGAAATTCCTTAAAATTGTTGGAAAATTCATATCATAACAACCTCCCATTGGATTCGTATAAGAAAACATCTATTAGCTTTTGAAAAAACATTTTAAAATTTTTGTTATATCAATGTTCCCAAGCGTTGATGCATCTACTTGTATTTTTCTACCATGCGTGCAGCGCAATAAAATCGGAGCGTTTTTTTAAATTGCTGCATATAATGAAAACAATTCTGATTGGTCAATTAAAACGGCTAACCTTGTTAACAAAATGTGTGTGAAAACGTACTTTTATAAGAATTAATTTAATAAATAGGGATTTATTTAACCAGATTTACCTATGTCATTTTTTTCTTCCAATTAGGTGTTAAATTGGGTAGGTGAAAGTCGACTTATACATCCCTACATCATGGGCAATCGTTGGAACGCATTTAAAATGTGAGTGTTTTTTAAATAGCTGATATGTTTATAATGAAAATAATTGTGATTGGACAATTATAAGGTTAACCTGGTTAATAATTTGTGTTTAAACTTGCTCTTATCAGAATTAATTAAATAAATATGGATTTATTTAACCAGCTTTACCATACCAATTTCATTTTTTCTTCCAATAAAGTCCTAAATTGGTTAGATAAAAGTCGACTTATAAATCCCTACATAGTGGTTCATTTTTGGGTTCATCCTTGGAACGCATATAAAATGAGACTGGCTGGTCAAACTGGCATGCGTAAACTTCTAGTAAGGTTAGGAATATAAAAGATAATATATGGTTTTCAGTGTAAATGTTATATTATTATATTTTCTGTTTTACAAAATTGAATTTTGTACTTTTTCATAATTTTTACTCAATCTATAAATATTTTTAGCAATTGCTATATCATTTAAACACATCTTTCTAAACATAACATAGCATTTTTCTTTTCAACAGCTGCCAATTATTTATTGACTTTATAAAATTACGGGGATTTAATTTAGTTTTAAGGGGTTTCAAATTCCTTGCTTTTGTGCGGTATTTTTCAGATAGCAATAAAACATAATTTCCATTTATAATTGATACGATCTAATGCGAAGGATGAAGAAGCAGGTGTGATGTGTCTTTGACTTACTTACGTTTATGTTTGCTTATCGTTTACATGTATGTACTTAAGGACCATTACCTTTATTTTGTGTACGATTTTAATTTAACAACACACTTATATGTAGGTTTTTTAATGAAAAATTCGTATTTAAAAAATTAATAGCAAACAGAACTGACGACTAAGGAAATGTCACTACATAGAGTTGAAAATAAAATATTGCAAAAGGGATAAATGTTTAGGTGTATTTTTTCGATGAAGTAAAATGCAGTCCCAAATTAAAGACACCAAAAATTAATGCCTTCCAATACACCCGTTGTATGGTAATATTTATAGTAAGAGATTGTGGTTTGATTGTTAATAAAACGTAACAGTACGATTACATATAAATGGGTTAACCAACTGGATTTGGATTAAAATTTTCATATCTATTACTTATACTTCAAGTAAATCCTCTTAAAGAAGTTCAACCCTACAAAAATTTGTAACGTAAACATGGCATAACACGTATATAATTGGCGTATTTTGATTAAGAATTAAAAACTGCACGAATTCGATATGTAATGGTCATTTTCCATAGTTAACCCAGATAAAGATGTGTATGTAAACGTGTTTAACCAAGTTATTATTTCTTAAAACTTCTTTGAAAAAAAAAAAAACTGGTATTACAGAGTTAGAAAATGAGGTCCTTCTCAAAGCTAAATGAAAGATAACATACACCTCTTTTTTCAAATGCGAAATTATCGAACATTCATGAAATTTGGAGCCATTGACTCTTATAGTTTTGGGAAACCGAAATTGCTTTATTTTGTGTTATTTTTGGTTTAAAATCATCTAAAATCCATTTTAAATTTTCCTTTCCAACACATTTGCCAATATCATAATTTACCTATGGTTTACGCAAAGCAATTTATTTGAAAATGCAACTCTGATTTAATGACACATTCAAACTTGTCGGATTATTTTGCGACACAAGTGATCCCTTACCCTTATCCTCTAATCGAATAAGCTTTTGACCTGAAGAATTTAGATTTTAGATTTAGTTTTTTCCAAATAATAAAAAGGGAAAATCAGTTATAGTAGAGAAATTTTTAGATTTTTGCAGGTGCGAGAACAGAGCAAATATTTGCATTGTGTTTTTAATTTGGACTGCATATACTCGTTGTAAATATTTCGATATATGTGTTTAATATATATGATTCAAATATGGAAATATGACTTGTGAATCTGAACTAAGTCTAATATATAGATATCTAGAGGGGTGTGTAAGACATACAAACAACGCAAAGTAAGAATATTAATATTGGGAGACAGTAGATATGAATCGAATAACAATAACACAGTTTAAAAAATATTTTTTAAATTATTTAACACAACAATATAGAGCAATATCAATATTAACATCGAGAAATTTACATCAAAATGGATATTGAAAAATGTACGTGAAATGATTTCATGAAAATGTGTAATGAATTTTGAAGATGCTGATGTAGGCCTAAAATGGGGGGGATTTATGAAATGTAGTGTGTTTTTGCAAACTTCGTAAGTCTGTATGTGAGTAAAAGGGCTGATTGGGATGCTTTAGAGGATGATTTGAAAACAAATTGTAAAAAACATATTTCATTTTGAACTTTTTTCTTAACATAAAGTATGATGATATAAACATAAATTTTATAGATTGAGTAAAATTAGGTTTAAATTTAAAAAATATTTATGTGACGATATTGTATGATTTTATGTGATTTGATTAAAGTAAACTATTTTTTTTCTTTTTGTAAAAAAAATACAAAGACAAAATATTTTCTAAAAACATTCAGTGGTAATCCTAAAATGTTTTAGAAAATATTGAGTAATTGACACATCTTGAAGACTATTCATGAAAAACATAATTGCAACCCTGCTTTGTGATAGTTAAAAACAACTCAGATTTGTACGAAGTACTAATTTGTTAAAAATGTTTCTTCGAAATAAATTTGGCATCACTGTTTCTAAAGTACTGCCCAAAAACTTGACAGTGAATGCACGATACGATAATGATTGAGATAATAAAGGTTATGACCCACGCGCACAGATATCAATGCGCTCAGTAGATGTTCAAGACCACTTGAATGAAATGACAAGCTGCCTCACCATTCCATATTAGAATAGATAAGAATAATTGTGTTTCTGCGATTAGGTTAAGTTAGATTAGTTTCAGTAGTACTTAAGAAATATATATTTTTAAATAAAAAAAGGAAGGAAGTTGGATTCCGTTCTCATTATTAAAAAAATTGGTCCTTCGAGACGGATAGCGAAGAGAATTGACAATCGAAGTGGGAGGTTTGATTCCGTTCTCGTTATTAACAACATTGGTTCTACGAGCCGGATAGAGAATAGAATTGCCAATCGAAGAGGGAGGTTGGATTCCGTTCTCAATATTTAAAACATTGGTCCTTCGAGCAGGATCTAGTATTGAATCAACACCCAAACGAAGCGGTCGTGTTCCTTTCTCGCTTTACATTGCTGCAGTCAAGCCGGGTAGAGAATAGAATTGACAATCAAGGAGGGTGGTTGGTCCTTCGAGCAGGATCTAGAATTGAATATACACCCAAACGAAGCGGTCGTATTCCTTTCTCACTTTACATTGCTCCAGTCAAGCCGAGTAGAGAAGAGAATCGACAATCGAAGAGCGAGGTTGGATTCCGTTGACATTATTAAAAACGTTGGTCATTTGAGCCGGATAGAGAATTGAAACTCCATCCAAAGAATAAGGTTGTTGTTTCTTTTCTGACATTTTATAGGAATTGAATTGACAATCGAAGAGTGAGGTTGGATTCTCTTCCCATTTGCATTGGTCCTTCGAGCTGGATAAAGAATTGAATGTACACCCAAAAGAAGCGGTCGTGTTCCTTTCCCACTTTACTTTGCTCCAGCCGAGCCGGATAGAGAAGAGAATTGGCAATCGAAGAGGGAGATTGGATTCCGTTCTCTTTATTAAAAACATTGATCCTTCGAGCCGGATAGAGAATATAATTGGCAATCGAAGAGGGATCCTTCGAGCAGGATCTAGAATTTAATCTACACCCAAACGAAGCGACCGTGTTCATTTCTCATTTTACATTGCTCCATTCAAGCCGGATAGAGAATAGGTTTGACAATCGAAAAGTGAGGTTGGATTCCGTTCTCATTATTAAGCCGATAGATAACTGAAAATATGTACATCCAAAGGATAACCCTTATCTTTCTTTTCTCACATTTTATACCCGCCATTAGAACAAAAAAAAAAAGCGGATCTCGATTTATAGATCCCTATCACTACTATCAAAACAGGGTTGTATTTTAGAATTATTGTTTTTCCTTTCATTTAGTGTCTTTAAAATGTGCAAATTAACCAAAAATTAATAAAAACAATTATTTAAAAATAAATTAAAAAAAAATAATTGCAATGAATTCTCTTGGTGGAATGAAATTTGAGATATGATTTAAACAAAATGGATGTATAATTTTTTTGATATTTCAATTTGGAATATAGAGTTTTTTGAAAATTATATCTTTATTACAAAGTATTATACTCACCAACATCTTCAGATTTATAATTTTGTATGATTTCGGCTAATTCCAAATTACCCGCAATGACAGCAACCTAAAGATTTTCAAATGAGGGAAGGTATTTTTAAAAAGAAAATAATTTTATTTTAGTATTTAAATTCTTAATATGCTTTACTTTTTAACAAAAACAAAATTTACTTTTAACAAATAAAAAATAGACACTACTGGAAACCAATTTATTTTGAAAATATAAACTAAACCAATATTTTTATTTTTTTTAATAAACCAATGTAACTACAGAAAAACAAGGGTAACTAAAAACTACAAAGAAACTTATTTGTTTTTTGTTTGAGCATAGTAGTAAATACCTGATAGGGAGTTTGATTGGCATAATTTAGCGCACCACGTTGGGCGCCACGAAACAGAAGCATTCTAGCACAAGCCTCCTGATTGTTAACAGCGCATACATGCAATGGTGTATTACCGGAAGCATTACGGCCATCCATGTCCGCACCATAAAACAATAAATGTTCCAAATGCTGGACAAGACCGTGACGACAGGCCTGGTAGTAGTAGTAGTGGTAGCAGTAATAGTGGTAGGGTTATGTTGGATAGTTGTTTTTTGGTTTATGTTTTTTTTTGAAGGTATAGTAGTAGTAGTATTTTTTTTATAAATGACAGAGTGTATTGTTGTTTTGTTTTGAATCCCACACAAAAAGTTCCGAAAATTTTTGTAAAATAAAAAAAGTAAAATTTTTTGAGGTTAGAATCATTTTTTTCTTGTATTTTTAGGTTTTAGTTATGTAAAAACAGTATGGATAGGATAAAAGGAGAACCAGAGTAGATATGTAAAGGAAGAAAATATTGGTTTGGGAAGGGTTGATATCCTGATAGAAGAGATATAGCGAAGTTAACCATTTTATATTGATTGAAATTAGTTAATTTGACTTTAACTGTCAATTTCATCGCGTATACGTATCACTTCATTAAAAATGTGACGCATAAGCATCGGAATTGACAAATCCACTCGATTTTATTTATGTAAACAGGCTTTGATATTTGTGCAAAAAAGTATTTTAGCAAAACTCGTTTTCGAGCAGACTTTGTATCGACCTATATTGGCTGGAAAACCACAAGTGGCTATCGTTAGAGCACTTCAGCATGTAAATGTGAATAAATCTTTTGTGTCTCATACCATCGCTCGTTACCGTGATACTGGTAGCGTAGCCCGAAGTCAAGGAAGTGGGCCAAAGAAAACAGCAACATCAGCAGAAATGGTTCGAAAAGTAAAGAAGCGACTTGATCGAAACCCGCGTCGCAATGGCCGAAAAATGGCTCGTGAGCTGAACATATCGCAATATTCTATTCGGCAAATATAGAAAAATGAGCTGGGGTAAAGCCATTGAAATTCCAAAAAGTGCAAGAACTTATACCGCAACGGAAAGAAAATAGACTCAAAAGAGCTAATGATTTGCTTCGCTTGGCCGAAAGTGGTGAACTGCCGAGTTAGGTTCTCTCCGATGAGAAAACATGGTCGATGGTCACTCTATTCGTATTAATCTACCGTGACATCAGAATAAATGCCGAATATTATCGTGAAAATATTCTGGAGGGTGTATTAAAGTGTTGGGCACGCAAACATTTTGGCCGCACGCGCAACCCAAGAATGGTTACAAAATGGGGTTCCTCGCTTCATTTCCAGCGTACATTGGCCACCAAAATCTCCGGGTACCAATACGTTGGACTATTGTGTCAGGAGCATTTTGAAAAGCAAGTTTGACACAAAAAATACCAAAGTGTCGATCACCTCAAGCAAGCGTTTCGCCGGGAATGGGCCGAAATACCGCAGAGCAACATTCGGGCAGCGTGTGACGGTTTCATTGGCCGTTTGAAGGCCATAATTTGTGCCAAAGGTGACCAATTCGAACAAATCTAAACTTATTCTGAAATTTGGTGCTACTTCCGACATTTTTTGCTTTCATTCAATAAAATTAAAGAAAGTGTAAAAAATTATGGCGTTTGACATTGTCGCAGTTTTTTCGTCTCACCCTTTAACCCTCCCTAGCCATATGGTCGAGGGTATAAAAAGGCTCTTTCATTTCATATACTAAATATTTAAGGGTAATAGTAATCGAAATGAGCTCTTTCATCACAGCCTAATCCACAACACTCAATTTCTCTTTAATCGTTTTATTTTTTTTTTGGTCTATTTGGTAAGCCAATGCTTTCGAAAAATCGATCTTTAGATTCCTATGTAGTATTGACAATTTAGTGCTTAAACAATGTTCCGACGTATTTAGTTTTTTATTGTTACGAGTATTGTCTTTATTATTCTTTCATCTCCTTTGATTGCGTTGTTTCGTTAAAATAATTATATAGTTTTTTTTTTTTTTTAAATAACCATTTTTTAATAATTTATTTCTTTACCACAATCAAGTTGACCAGCTCTTATTTACTTATACACGTTTCAATAAAAGTTTTTGTTTGTCATGGCGTGACATAGTGTAAAGGAATATCAGAGCCGACCCCGAATTCAGTGGTGGTTGTCCTTATAATTTCATATTAATAAGCAATACTACATTGCCGAACTGCTTGTGTAACGTCACATCAAGGCCTGATTTAGCCTTCTGCGTTACCTTACTGTATTGGTCTTCGCTGCAATCAATATCAAATGGTTAAATCGTAATTAAATATAAAATAATACAAAGGCCAACACCATGGAGACCAATTAAACATATTTTAAGGACTAAAACATATGTATTTGTAAAGGATTTTTTTTTCAAAATTTTAGCACAAATCTACATTTTTTGTATTTAATAAATGTCTACATTTTAATGTTAATAATAACAGATTTAAAAATTGGGAAAAATTCCAAGCATTTCATTCCCTTGGGCATACACTCTGCTCCTTAAGTAATATCCATAATATTTTTTTCAAACCAAAACGAAATTGTATGCCCTCTCTGGGCCAATACTTACCTGATGGACCTCATTCCAACCCTGATTATCCTGGGTACCCAATGTGGCATGATCATGTAAAAGGCTTTCCGTTATTTTCGAATCACACTTGCGTGTAATGGAAATATACAAGGGGGTTATGCCACGGGCATCTTTATAGTTGGGCGAGGCGCCCAATTCCAATAGAGTACTGTAATGTGATTACATAAAAATGATGACGATTTATTTTTTTTGATGCCCAAAAAAATACTTACGTTACCGCCTCCAAAGAATCTTTTTCCACGGCCCTGTGCAAAGCCGTTGTACCATCTTTGGTACGATAGTCAAGCAATGCCCCACCATTTACCAGAGCTATTAACAATTTATTTGGTTTTTTAGCACCGGTGGCCACAGTTAGTGGCGTCTCACCACTTTCGGGACAATGGAAGTTAGGGTCCAGCCCTTTGGCGCACATTTTGGCAATTTTCTCCACATGACCACCATTGATGCATTCTAAAAAACGTCTTAAATTGGCACGGGTATGCAATGCTTTCAATTGCCGCTCATCAAGATTTAACATTTTGTAAACGCGACGTTTGTATTTGAGCTGGAGAAATGGAGATGATTTGTGAGTACAAATGTAAAATATTAATAATTTTTGATTAACTTACCTCCAAATAGCCCACTGGACCATTGAATGGATAATCACCCAAACGCCGCTCCTCATCAAGGAATTTGCCCGCCTTGCCATTTGAGGGTGGACAAAAGAGACCATAGTTAAAGCTCTCTTTAAGTTCCTGCAAAAATATGAAAAAAGAAAATAAAAACGTTATTTGGTTGAATATAAAGAAAGGAAAAATAATTATTCACAATTATAACTGTTTCTTTTTCGTTAAATGAAACACATGGACTATAATAAAAAAATAATAGTTTAAAACTTCAGGTACTTCCCAAGTTAGTATGCACAGAGAATGATGTTCCTTAGTAATAGGGACTCTTAGGTCTAATAGTTCAAATGTCACAAAAAAATCGACACAAAAAAATACAGTTTCAGTTTTCATCGATGCAAGTAGACTAATTTTTGTCTCTTGGAACATACAGTAGCTCCAAGCGAAACTCCTACAGCTAAAGAAATTTTTTTTCTAATAACTTTTTTTTTATTTTTCTTAAAAAAATTAAAATTTAGAAAAAATGTTTTTTTTTTTACATTTTATTAGTACACTATGTAAATAATTTAAAAAGCAAAAAACGTAACATTTTAATTCATTTAAAGTAAAAAAATAAATAAATATTTAAAGAGATCATATTTCAATGCCAAAGGCAAACTCGTGCACATCGTATAATTTAAAGTATTTCTACACATTATTATTTGGTATGTATTCCTTTACTTTTTTACCATTTGTAGCCTATTTGGCATACGTTTAACAAGTTATTCGCAAAGGGTAGGTTAAATTTTTTGCCATTCTTCAAAGAAAGATGTTTTCAATTCTTCTTCGCAAGATATGGTATGCTGGCGGATTTCTCCATCGAGATAGCTCCATAAATTCTCTATGGGGTTCATGTTTGGACTCTGCCCTGGTGTATCCATGATGTGGGGAAAATATAGCAGCCATGACGACACTTTATAAGCCTTGTGTTTTGAATCATTGTCTTGATATGAAAATAATAATCTTCGTGAAGGACGAGCTTTTCCTTACGGAGTGGCAAACTTTCTTTCAAAATGTTGCAATACACTAGGTCCAGAAGCTGAAAATGAACCCCACACCATTACTGATCCACCACCGAGCTTCACTGTAGGCTTTATATTTTTTTCATATTTTTTTGGCAAGGAGCGTTTCATTTGCCTTTCTGTCATCTGAACCAAAAAGGTTGAGTTTGCTATCGTCCGTGAACAGTACATTCTTTAAAAATTAAAAATCTTTTGATAAGTGCTCCTTGGCAAATCGCAATCTTACTTCTTGATATCGCTTGCTGACTAAAGGTCTATGTCTAGCTCTTCTGCCATTGTAATTCGACTTATGCAATATATATATTATTAAGGTTAAGGTAAATATTATTGTTTGAGGGCAACATACTTTTCCCAAATCCTTTTCAGCAATTTTTGCGAGCTTCGGTGTACTCAAAAATGGATTCTTTTTGATCTGCCGTAAAATTTACTTCTCATCACTCAAGGTAAATATTTTATTATTTGCCGTTTTTTTACTTATTTTCTACACATCCATCTGTTTTAAACAGTTTTATTATGTACTGAACTGTAGATCGGCTTCTAATAACAATCTTAATATCTCACTTAGCAATTTATGGTTTTTGTAATGTTTAATTAATTTTTTTTTACTTCAACAGTGGTTTGTCCTCGTTGTCTTCACATTTTTAATTTATTATTTTTTTATATTTACGTCAGTAAATTACACAACACGTGGAAATTTGTGATAAATTGGCTTTAAGGGACTTCCCCAAATACATTTTCTACGGCTAGTTCTAGTACCCTATACAATATTTAAAAATATAGGTTTCTTCTGGTAGTGAATTTCATAACAATCATATATTGCATGAAATATAATTGTTTGCGAAGTGTACGAGTTTCGCTTGGAGCTACTGTATTTACAATTACATCTTGTATCATAATTAAATTAAAGTAAAATATATCTAAACTTGTCGCAAATAAATCATTTTAAATTGATAATCATAGCAAAGGGATGTAATGTGAAATTTGAATGACGCCACTGCTTTATTTACAGCAACAATTCAAATAAATCGCGATAAAATGATATTCACGGCATATATGTACAATGTGAATATGAAAAATATATAACATACGCATTTTGAAAAAGGCTGATAAATGATTTATAAAAATATAAATTAGGAATTTGCACAGACCCTGTGTAAATTTGAATGACTTTACTGCCTTTGTTTTTAATAAATCACGAAGAAATTACATTCAAATCATAGAGGTATATTGTGAATATGAATACTTTGTAACATTCGCCTTTTAAATACGACTTCAAAATCTACAAATTAGAAACATTCTTTAAACCTATTTAAATTCGAATGACTTTACTGCTTTATTTTTAACAACAATCCTTATGGATTTTTATACTTTCAAAAAATTCTTTAAATACTAAATGCGTTTTAATTCTGAAAAATAACGTCGTCTATTGTTGTTATGTAGTTGAATGCACGCAAAATGTGTTCATTTTCCTTAAGAGAAATGAATTCGTTTTAAATCCTGGGACAATGACGCGAACAGGGACAACTTTAATGACAATACTTAAACTCGAACATAAAGAAAGATGGAACCATTAAACGAACACTTGGGTAATCTGCGTTGCTTAAAATGAAAAATGTCGTATGTATTTGCGATGAAATTGCAACTTGCGAATTTATTTATGTAACAGTGAAAGTAGTGTAAAAAATTTGACAAACTGAAAAAATGAAGTGATTATTGTGTTTTAAGAGAACTCAACTGAACACAGCTTTCAGCAACAGATAACGGCTTCAACTCTAAATTCAATAAACAAACAACAACACAATAAAAAAAACAGCCTTTAAAATTCCACGTATGAGAGAGAGAGCGAGAACAATCCATAAATAACGCTATAGAGTACAAAGGCGCACGCTTATGAAATGCAATAGTAACATGACTGACAACTAAACAGGGTTCGAAAAGCAGCCTATGAACGTTGATTCCACTGTTTTGGAAGTGGCAAAGAGGATAATATAACTTCAAGACTATGTAGTTAGCTCGAAAGGCTGAATCCTCCGCAGAAATTTTGCACATCCTAAGGATTCTGAAAAAAAAAATAAAGAACTATAACAGAAGAGGAAGATGACTGTGGGGTTCGAAAAGAAGCACCATCTCCGAAATAAAAACGAAAGATTGCATTAACGCATTCCACTATGCTACAATCGAGATCAGTAATATCTCTGGAAAAATGTACAAAATCCTCCAAGAATTGTTGAGGTCTTGGAGATTAGGAATTGTGGGTTAACGATGCATTCTACGCAAATAAGAAATGTTTTCATTAGAAGATTAAAAGTGTACTCATAGAAGTACAAAATGCTTTCTCATAGAAGAGTACAAGGTCTCCTAATGGAAAACCAATAAGATTTCTTATAGCCGACAAAGCAGTATTATCGTAGACGACCAAGAAGTTTTCGGATGTTCACGGATAAGTGAGCATGTTTTTTAAAGTAAAAGGTATTGAATGGTACATAGTGTAGATGAGAGGAATTTGTTAAAAAGGGATCTTTTTAATACAGATCACATTAAAAAATAGCAGAGCTTTGGGTTAGAAATAAATAATGTAGAATTTTCAATTGCTGCATGTAGTATGTTAGATTACAGGATGTAATCTTTACTTAGACTGATAAGGAAGTGCAGAAAATTTGCATGCCACATGTGAGATATCTATGCGTGTTTATGACCTCCCTCAAAGATTTACGGTGGCATGGTACATAGGCATGTGTACATGCCTCTCTCTCTCTCTATCTCTCTTTTACACTTAATGCTAAGTTAGATTAAGTCATATTATGACAAGTAGTTCTTAAGAAATATTTTTAATAAATAAATTTAGTGTCTTACAAACGCTCATTAAGAATAGACGTGGTGTCTAAAAAATTATTGATCCCGGTTTACATAGGAGACCAAAACGTTTCTTATAAAAGACAAAAACTTTAAAAATTGGGAATTATAATTTTTTAATGCACTTGAACTTTGTCGTCTGTTTATGGTATAAAATTAAATGTTACCAATTAATATCAGAATGTCAAATTATTATGAAAAACGATGGCAGAATTCAAGTGCGACTCTTAATGATATATCACAAAATATGCCAAGCCATGATGCCATGACCATAAAGGTTTTACATCTGTAGCGTCAAATCTTCGATATGTAGAAGTTGCATACATCGTGTGAAGCATGAACAACACTTCAGTTTTGAAATACATGAGTAAAGTACATATAATGGTAGAAGAATACAGGACGTCGCACCGACACAGCTGCTGGGACAATGAACTGTCAAACCGATTTTGGATTTGAAAATGTTGAATGAAAAAATATTAAAATTTGTAAAAAGTGTTGAAAAATTCATATTATAACAAGGAAGCGTCGAATAAAAACACATTACAAATCGACTTATTTTTCATAAATCACTGCGATCACTGCGAGCCCTATTTCCATCAGAAAAAAAATTTAATCAAAAGTGTTGCATGTTTGTTGTGTTGTTTATAATAACATCATAACCAAAGGAAATAAAAAACATATGCGAGTATGTGATAGCAAGAATTATGTGTCATATGTAAAATAGCATATGACTGGATAAAAAAGTGGCATCACATATGAAAACTCTTAACGTCTGATGGCTGCTTTAGTCTAGTATACACTTAAAGTTAAAGTCATATAAAAAGACACAATTTTTCAATTTATGTTAAGCAGTTTTCTAACATACTTTAAAGTGATACACATAATAGTTTATATAATAGGAAATGTATTATCAGCTTTACTTCTTCGAAGCCAATTAGTAAAAGACAACGGCGTCAACATTTCTTGTCAGCTTTGAATGCCTTTATGATTTAACATTTCCAAAGCAAGACAACAACTAAACATATCAATTTTGGATGCTTGAGACAAATAAGAAAACTATTGACCCTAAAACCACAGTGCCTGCAGCACCGAACCAATCATTGCAGTTAAGACCCTCATAGCTCTTCCAACTTAAATATGTCAACATAGAATATTCTGCATTACGAAAACTTCAATGATAAACGAAAGGAAAATACTTGAGGAGAGTACATTGCA